TTTTTTTTTTTTTTTTTTTTTAAATTTTATTTGATTATGTTTTATAGAATATTTAGTTGGACTGTATTCTATGTAAAATTGTATTTGTCCTGAGTTGTAGGAATATATTATTTGACCTTGGTTTCTGGAATCTCTTATTTGACTGTATTCCTGTTACACAGTCTTTTGTGGAAAATCCTATTTGAAAATATTTTTGACAATCTTATTTATTTTGTTTTACTAAACATTCAGTTTAAATGGGTTTCGTGGAACACCTAAATTGATTCTGTTTTATTTGTTTTATGACTGGATATTATGAATCATCTTATTTTACTCTGTTTTACAGAACACCTTATTTGACCACAGCAGGACTTTTTGGCGCCGCCGTTTTGGCACAGGACATTTTGGCGCAGGACATTTTGGTGCAGGACATTTTGGCGCCATTTAAAAATAACTTTTATTTAACTTAACGTTTATAAACTTTTAATAAAGAGAATGCAAAATATATATCGCCAGAACTTCTTGGAATGGTCTGCACTAAACTTATCGAACACATAACTAAATAAAATGAGTAAAACAGAGTAGGTTTAAACCTGAAAAAATAAACGCACACCTCTATTGCTGCCCACAGATGCTACTTACCAGCTAAGTGCTATTTGTTATTTTTATTTTTTTATACCGTTTTTTTCTGTTGTTTTGTTCGCTGACGGAGGCTTTCTGCCGACACGTTCGCTGTTTTGTTGCGTTTATTTTTTCAGGTTTAACCTTACTCTGTTTTACTCATTTTATTTTGTACTAACCTGATTGCAGTCTCTCCCCTTATTACCCCGAACACATAATAGTATCCTTCGTGATGCAACTTTTCTTGACCACGCTTCGATGTAGCATTTTCCATTTCACCGGTTTAACAGAATTGTAATATGTGATATATTTTTGAAACTCTACTTAACTAATGATTTTAGTCTAGAAGACTCTTGCACTTTTATAAATGTGAAGCGCACGCATGATTAGGCAAAAACGGTAAATAATGGCTTAGGCCATCTGTGCGCCAAAATGACATGCGCCAAAGTGGCGGCGCCAAAACGTCACGTACCATTATTGCAATGTGTTTAATGGAATATCTTTTTTGACAGTGTTAAATGGACATCTATTATTTGACTATATGGAAATCTTATTTAAATGTATTTTATGGAACATCTTATTTGACATATTTTCAAAAAATATAGAATCTGAGTGTGCTTTTTGGTGCAATCTTATTTGATTGTGTTTATGGAAAATCTTATTTGATTGTGTTTTAAGGAACATATATATATATTTTTCATGTAAAATCTTATTTGATTGTGTGTTTTTTTTTCTGGAACATCTTATTTGACAGTGTTTAACTGAACATATTTTAACTGTTTTTAATGGAACAACTTGTTTGAATTTTTTAGGAATATGTTTTTTACTTTGTTTTATGAAACATGTTTTTTTTTCTTGACAGTGTTAAATTGCACATCTTATTTTGCTATGTTCTATGTAAACCTTATTTAAATGTGTTCTATTGTACAACATATTGACCTTGCTTTATGAAATATCTTTTTGGCAGTATTTGTGTGACACCTTATTTGACTCTGTTTTATGAAACATTTTGTTTGAAGGAGATATATGGAACATCTCATGTGACTGTGTGTAATAGAACATGTTTGGTTTTTTTCATTTTGTATTATGGAACATTTTATTTGACTGTGTTTTATGGAAAATTTTATTTGACTGTAGTCTTTGTCAATTTTTTTTCTTTCACTGGGTTCTGTGGAACAATTTGTTTGACTTTGGTTTATAGAATATCTTAATTGACAGTGTTTATGGAACATCTTATTGGTCTAAGATTTATGTAACTTCTGTTACTGTGTTTTATGGAACATCTTAATTGACCGTGTTCTCTTATTATTTTATGATAGCATCTTATATAAACGTCTTGTATTGAGCTTCTCGTTGACACCCTTTGATTGAACATCTTAATTGACTGTGTTTTGTGATTATTTTATTATAGCATCTTATATAAAAGTCTTGTATTGAGCTTCTCGTTGACACCCTTTGATTGAACATCTTAATTGACTGTGTTTTGTAATTATTTTATTATAGCATCTTATATAAAAGTCTTGTATTGAGCTTCTTGTTGACACTCTTTGATTGAACATCTTAATTGACTGTGTTTTGTAATTATTTTATTATAGCATCTTATATAAAAGTCTTGTATTGAGCTTCTTGTTGACACTCTTTGGTTGAACATCTTAATTGACTGTGTTTTGTAATTATTTTATTATACCATCTTATATAAAAGTCTTGTATTGAGCTTCTTGTTGACACTCTTTGATTGAACATCTTAATTGACTGTGTTTTGTAATTATTTTATTATAGCATCTTATATAAAAGTCTTGTATTGAGCTTCTTGTTGACACTCTTTGATTGAACATCTTAATTGACTGTGTTTTATTGCCCATCTTATTTCCAAATCAATTGTACGCACAGAAAAATCCTGAATATAAAAATAACATTTAAAATAGTAACTGTAAAAAAATTAAGAGACGTACTTGCATGAGCTCTCGGCAAAGTTGTGGGCGTAGTTGTAATAATGTTACATGTAACGTATTCCTTTCGTTGACAAGATCTGCGCTAAAGAGAAGAAAATACATACAGATTAGCGTAGTGTTTCTTAATATATAGCGTGTCAATCAAAATCTGACGTATGCCCCATTATCTGACGTATGCCCCAATATCTGACATATGCCCAATTATTTGGCGTATGCCCCAATATCTGACTTATGCCCTATTATTTGACGTATGCCTCATTATCTGACGTATGCCCCATTATTTGGCGTATGTCCCAATATCTGTCATATGCCCAATTATGTGGCGTATGCCCCAATATATGACATATGCCCAATTATTTGGCGTATGCCCAATATCTGACGTATTCCCAATTATTTGACTTAAGCCTAGATATCTGACGAATGCCCCAATATCTGCCGTTTATCCCAATATCTGGCATATGTCCCAATATCGGACGTATGCCCTTAATATCTGTAATATGCCTCAATATCTGAAGTATGCCCAAATATCTGACCTGTGCCCAAAAGTCTGGATTATGCCCCAATATATGACGTATGCCCTAATATCTGACGTATGCCCTAACACAGTGGTTCTCAGCCTAATGCCGCGACCCTTTAAGACAGTTTCTCTTGTCGAGGCGACCCCCAGCCGCACAATTACTTTCGTTGCTACGTCGTAGCTGTTAGTAAAAGTGTTTTCAGATGTTCTTAGGTGACCCCCCTAGGAAAGGGTCATGTGACCTCCAAAGTGGTCGCGACCCACAGGTTGTGAACCGCTTCCCTAATATATGACGTAAGCCCCAATATCTAACGTATGTCCCAATATCGGACGCATGCTCTAATATCTGGCGAATGCCCCAAAATCTGAAGTATGTCCAAATATGTGACCTATGCCGAAAAATCTCAAGTATGCCCAAATATATGACGTATGCCCTAATATCTGGCGTATGCACCAATATTTGAAATATGCCCCAAAGTTTGGCGTACGCTCCAACGAATGGATGTTGGGAAAACTTTAAGTTTGTTGAGTGAAATTTCGGCCGTTTTTTGTCAGAGTATCCACTCATCCCTTTGTGTGTATATCCATCTCTGTGTTTGTATATCATCCCTGTGTTTGTATATCCATCTCTGTGTTTGTAAATCCATCCCTGTGTTTCTATATCCATCTCTGTGTTTATACATAATCCATCTCTGTGTTTGTATATCCATCCCTGTGCTGTACATCATCCATCTCTGTGTTTTTATATCCATATCTGTGTTTGTATATCCATCCCTGTGTTTGTATATCCATCCCTGTGTTTCTATATCCATCTCTGTGTTTGTACATCATCCATCTATGTTTTTTTACATCCATCCCTGTGTTTGTACATCCATCCCTGTGTTTGTATATCCATCTCTGTGTTTATACATCCATCCCTGTGTTTGTACATCCATCCCTGTGTTTGTACATCCATCTCTGTGTTTGTACATTCATCCCTGTGTTTGTACATCCATCCCTGTGTTTGTACATCATCCATCTATGTTTTTTTACATCCATCCCTGTGTTTGTACATCCATCCCTGTGTTTGTACATCCATCTCTGTGTTTGTAGATCCATCCCTGTGTTTGTACATCCATCCCTGTGTTTGTACATCCATCTCTGTGTTTGTACATTCATCCCTGTGTTTGTACATCCATCCCTGTGTTTGTACATCCATCCCTGTGTTTGTACATTCATATCTGTGATTGTACATCCATCTCTGTGTTTGTACATCCATCACTGTGTTTGTACATCCTTCATGTGTTTGACCATACATCCCATTATTTGTCAATCCATCCCTTCATTTATCAGTCCAGCTCTGTGTTTGTCCATCCAAACTTGTGTTGTCCATCCATCCTTATATTTGTCCACCCATCACTGTGTGTCCATTAATCCTTGTGCTTGTACATGCCTCTTTGTGATTTTCCATCCATCCTTGTGTTTCCCCACTATTCGGAAACCCAAGCTTCTTAGGCGTATAGCTGAAAAGCGTGGGAGAAGAAGTGGTAGTTAAATTAAAAAAAAAAAGTTTCCGAAAGCAAAGAACATGTATGAGTATGAGCAAGAAATTAGGCACGCAAAGTCTGAGCATGTTCAGTTTGCCCTTAAGGAAGCATACACATCCTTGTGTTTTCTCAACACTCCCTGTGTTTTTCCATTGTTTTGTAGACGACTTGTTTACGTCATTTTTCCCAGTGCTGTGAACTCTAGCAGACCAAGCAAGCTAAAAACCGCAATTAAGGTGTGGGGTGTGGCTAGCTAAAAAGTGTCTTGACCTATTGTAACGGACTATGTTTTCACATGAAAACAGAGAGGTAGCATGAGTGAACAGTGAATAGTGTTGACCATGTTTTTCCACGAGGACAGTGTATTGTATTTTTGAGATTCAAATGTGAGCTCCACGTTTTCGGAGAGTAAATTGTGTTTTTGTCAAAGCGGTCGTTTTCACGCTTTGCTGGTGATAAAAGGTGCAGTTGAGTTGATTGAAAGAAGAAGAGTCAGAGTTAGTCGGAGTTGAGTTAGAGTTGAGATGTAGTAGAGTTGAACTGAGTTATGGCAGTGTGAGGACGTGTCTTTCTGAGTGATGGAATATTATATAGATATATGTGAAATGATTACATTCATGCAAGGATTATTATTATTATTTGTGTAAACTGTGATTCAATAAAGTACTGTAAGTTTAACCAGGATTCAGTATTCTTATTTGCGTGCCTGGATAACAAGAGGAAGAACGATGAAGTCTTAGCCGGCATCCTGAATTGCTAACTTAAAACAAGTAACCATGCTACTGACATAACCCACAGCATGAGAAATAAGTTACAATGATAATGATGTCAGAGCATATGTGTGTTACACCTATATAAATTTAATAGTCTTTATCTATTAGAATTCGGTAGAAGAATCTGGAGGAAACTGGAAAGGAACACAGTGCTTAAGGCGGTTCTAGAGACATCAGTAAAACAGACTATAAAAAGGGACACCATCGATTTTTGAACGAGCATTATCACGAGATATTTTTACTTTATGGGACGACAGACGAGAGTTATTTTGAGAGTGTATTATTCTTGATGGAGCTGTTTTTATTGAATATGTTTGGATTCATATTCATCGTTGTACCTTTTTGAACATTTTATTGTCCTCAACTTTGTACCGGTACTATAAAAACAGTACGCTGTACGTCAATAGCTTTAATAATATTTATTTATATTTTGTAATTTATTTTTATTTCTTAATAAAAATTATTATTTGTAATTAGCCCTGCTTTGAGTGTCGTATTATTTTTTATTGTGCTGAATTGATGGTATCGTTATTTGTTGTGTACTGTTTTAGAACGAGGCATTTAATTAAATAAGAGATTAATTTATCCAACACTGATAACAGTACGTAATAGCATCCATCGCTTTATTTGTCCTTCAATCTCTGTGTTTGATCATCCATTCCTGTGTTTGTAATCTCTGTGTGTTCACCCATCCTTGTGTTTGCACATCAATCCAAGTATTTTTCCATCCATCTCTCTGTCCATTTATCTGTGTGTTTGTCCGTCCATCCATTTATTTGTCCATCAATCCTTTTATTTTTCCATAAATCCATGTGTTTGTCCATCCATCCTTGTGTTTGTCCATCCATCCTTGTGTTTGTCCATCCATCAATGTGTTTGTACACCAATCTCTGTGTTTTCTATCTATCCCTTTATTTGTCCATCAATCCTTGACTTTTTCCTTCCATCCCAGTGTGTGTCCATCCATCTCTGTGTTTGTCCAGCCATCCCAGTTTGTTTTCCATCCACCCCTGTGTTTGTGCATCCACTCCTGTGTTTGTCAATCGACCATTGTGATTGTCCATTCGTCAATGTGTTTATAAATCCCTCCCCGTGTTTTTTTATCACTTTATTCTGTGTCTACCCCCCCCCCCGGGTATTTGTCCATCCACCCCTTTGTGTGTACGCTTACAAGGATGAGGTGACATGTTACGCAGAAAGCTTCTTTTAAATTGAACAACTTTTACTGTTATTATTTACACTTATTTCTATACATCTATGTTGTTGTTATGTCGTAAACTTTTTTTCCCGTGCTTGAACTTTGTTTCACCCCACATTAGATTCCTAGCAGACGGTAGCGTTTGTTGTGGGCGTTGCTTAGTCTTTGATGTATCGTGTTTACTACCGACTTCCAATTAAACATGATTAGTAGGTCTACTAGTATCTTAGGGAACGTTCTCGATTGTATTAGAAAAGTAAAGGCGTTTGTAGACGCGTCGGTAGACCCACATATATAAGGGATTGACAGGCACAGAGAGAGACGGAGATTGATAGATATTTTTAACTTCACGAGACATGAATTATTCTTTGTGTTCTTATATGTGTTTATTCGCATTCATCATTCATCATTATTAATTGGCACATTGTAATAATTGTGTACCGGTACAAGATTTTTCCCATACTCTGTAAGTTGATGATTTGTAATTATTTTTCTTTTGTTTTGTAATTGTATTATTACTAAATTAAATCTTATTAATTGTACTTGGCAACTGTTTTGGGTGTCGTAATTTTGTTATGGTATTTCTCTATGGTATCGTCCTTTGTTAGGCACTGTTTGAACGAGCCATAAATTAAAACAAGAGATTAATTTCTCACAAGAGGAGACAGTGCGTAACATTGGCATTACTGTAATTTTTTGTCATTTTAGTAAGCTTTGTTATAAAAAATTAACTCCCAGGTATAAAAGACTTGCTAATGTATTAAGAGACATCTTCGTGTATTAAAAGAATCATGGTGTATTAAGAGACATCTTCACGTATTAAGAGTCATCCTGGTGTATTAAGAGAAACCCTGGTGTATTGAGAAACGATGAAATGGAATTTGAGTTATTTGAGCGACCCCAGAATGGAGTGGTTTTTTTTTTCTTTTGGCTTTTTAGCACCAAAATGTCGGGCGGGTGTAAGACATAATAAAAAATATAGTGTGTTCCGTAAGGCATGATAAGGTGATCAAGTTATTTGCTCAGTTATTGATGGTAAGGTCGATGTCAAGGGTATGGGAATCACTGTTGTTATGTGTTGATCATTGTTTTCACGTTTGATATAGAAAAAAATGTTTAGTTAGAGATTTTATGTGTAGCTGTATCGTTAATGTGAGAGTGTTGTGACGTAATTGTGTAAGGGGAAATGACGCGTTCGTTTTCGTTGTTGTTATGGGAGGATTGATGGCGGATATACTGGATGAACTGTTTGGGTTTGTCTATTGAGTCGTGTTTGGTTGGAGTGCTTTGATGATCAATTCTGAAATTATACTTCAACCCTAGTTAATGGAGTAGTGTTAAATAAACTCCTATCTAGCAACAGACCTGTTAACGTTGGTTGATGGTTTTATTGTTAACTGTTGATATTAGCTATACCGTTCGTGGGATCAAGTGAGAGACTTGGCCAGACAAGTAGACACTCATTGCCATGAGTGGATAATTACAACACAACAGATTCAACGGTTTGACAGTGGGCTTGTTATGTTCTCAGTTTGGGTTGCTCAGGTGAACTAGTTATGTGCTCAGTTAGGGATGGTAAGGTGAACTAGTTATGTGCTCAGTTAGGGATGGTAAGGTGAACTAGTTATGTGCTCAGTTAGGGATGGTAAGGTGAACTAGTTATGTGCTCAGCTAGGGATGCTAAGGTGAACTAGTTTTGTGCCCAGTTAGGGATGGTAAGGTGAACTAGTTATGTGCTCAGTTAGGGATGGTAAGGTGAACTAGTTGTGTGCTCAGTTAGGGATGGTAAGGTGAACTAGTTATGTGCTCAGTTAGGGATGGTAAGGTGAACTAGTTATGTGCTCAGCTAGGGATGCTAAGGTGAACTAGTTTTGTGCCCAGTTTGGGAAGGTTAGGTGAACTACTTATACGCTCATTTAGAGATGTTATGGTGAACTAGTTATGTGCTCAGTTAAGGATGGTTAGGGCAACAAATTTTGGGAAAAGTTTGTTAAGATAAAAGCTAAAAAGACGACGTCTTTAAGGTTGTAAGATAATAGAGAACATTTTTTTTATTTTTTTAGCTTTTAATTAAATCAGTCTTGAAAGACCGTTGTATGGCTTCTTCTGTTAACTTTATAAACCCGATTATAGAGTCCCAGTTTTACTGTGTATTCCACAGAATATTGGTGTTTTATATTTCCTGTTCCAAATTAAGATAAAAGGGATTTGGCATTTACATCATCTTGTCAGCGCTTTAACAAATTGTTCGTGATGAAATAGTCTTTAGCAACAACTGTCCAGATACAGGTGTTGACTACAAACTGTCTAAATACAGGTGATGGGTTACAAACTTTCCCGATACAGGTGATGGGTTACAAACTTTCCCGATACAGGTGATGGGTTACAAACTTTCCCGATACAGGTGTCAAAAACAGCGCTGAAACTAAGTTTACAGTCTAAGAATAGATTTTTTAAAAATTGAGAGTGAAAAAACATGGTATGAAATGTCTCCGCAATATTTGCAATGATCTCGAGGAGTAGCCGCTGAAAATCCTCGACAAAGTCCTCTGTCTGCGCCCGAAGTACAGTTTATCTTCAAGGATTACATCTGGTCGTAACATTTAAGTCTTAAGCTGACGTAGCTACACGGATATGTTGGCATTTAATACAATTTTAATCTATAATTATTTTTCCTCCAGATAACATTCTTAGTGATGCTGTTGCCTGAAATAATGCTACATGCAGTGCATTTGTAGGGGTATCTTGCTGATTCAACAAGGCTATCTATAGGACTAACTTAGTTTATAACACAATGGCCTCTAATACTAATTACGTAACAAAATGTGAAATGTTAGTTATAAATGTATAGAGAAATTTCAGTTATAACGGTACGGAAATTGTTTTTTAAATTTTATGAACATTTTATCATTTAATGCAGGGTCTCAAACTCGAGGCCCGAGGGCCGTTTCCGGCCCGCAAGACAATGTTTTGCGGCCGACTACCCGACAGCACAGTTTAATGTAAATGTGGCCCGCGCGTTTTCCCCATTCTCATATCTATAATGTGACCCTCTGCGACAGTATCATTTGAATCTCACCGACAGTCTCATTTTGATTTTTGTTATGTTTATTCTATATTTTGAGGGCCAACGATCAAGTGAATTGATCATTCTGGCTCCTATGTTCCAGAGGGGTTCGTGATGTAACTGTGCATGATTTTCAGGGGATACTTCACTGATGAAGGGCTGATCAGCAGTGGTTTTATGAACTATGGATTGGAAGACAAGAGGCAATAGCTGAAAATATGTCAAGTGTAGTCGCCTCAACTTTTGCTTTTGGAAGCCTGTTCCCAGTCCCTTGTCTTTTGCAGGAATAAGGAGCTCCTTTACTGAGTTATTTATTTTTATTAGCCCGAACTGCCTGTCGTGGCCTCGTCGCAGTCTGGTGTTTCTAGTGGACCAGCCCATGTTTTATCTTGTACATCATGGAGAGCCTGGATAGTCGTAATGGTTGTTCCAAAGGTGACCAGCCTAGTGTTTCAAGCATGCTGCCAACAATTGAGGCGTTTCTGTAGCGGTTCAGGACAAAACGTGCTACTCGTCGCTAGACCCCCACCAACCTGTCGATGCTCTTCTGGGTCAATGGGTCTGAGACTGAAACTGCGTACCCTAAAAGCGGCCGGACAAGGCTTTATCGGCTTTTTCTTTCACACTTGTTTGCGTGGTTGCACGAAAGATTGATGTGCTCGTCCCAGCGGACCTCTCTGTGAATGGTAACACAGAAATGCTTAAAGGGTGAAACTTGCTCAAGAATATGATCATGCAATTCGTAAGTTTTGTGTAGAGGGGATCTGCTTCTGGAGACTGACAGGGTCTGGCACTTGAAGGAGAGAGATTACATGTCCCAGCTCATCTCCCACTCTGCTAACCGATTGAGATCCTGTGGTAGCTGGTCCTCGTCAGAACTGTTGGCAATCGTCCTATACACCGCCGTGTCGTCTGTTTGTATAGGTTTGTGCGATTATTATAAAAGTAAAACCATTTTAGAATCGGACTAAAAGGTTTATTGTATAGCTTTTTATGAGACACACATAGCCACATTGCGGTTTCGGGAAACGTTTAAATTGTCAGTGGGTAATGCACATAATGTCCGCCAATGTTTACTAGTGATGGAAATTCCAAGCCTGTCAGCTTGGTCACTTTCAAAAAATGGATAGTCAAAAAGGCCTTTTATATGACAAAAATTTCTTATCCTTACAATAGCATCTTCCTTCGCATCAATCATACATAAATATTCCCGGCACCTGCCTTCTGTTTGAACACGTTTTAGCCTAAAGAGCCTTCATGGCAAAGGATGGTGTGGTTGTTCCTTTAATAAGTGATCCCAAATGGCTCATGGACTTGTCTTTTCTTGTTGAAATTATACAGGAGCTGAATGTACTCAACAAGCAGTTACAAGACCAGTGGTAGCTTGTCAGTATTGTCTGTGAACATGTCAGCGCATAAACTTGTGCTAATGTTGTCAGAGAACCATAGCCAACTATGCAAAAAACTAGTGGACACGGGCAAACCATTCTGTAGTAAGTCCATTGACGCCATTGTAAAACTATAAATAGAATTCGATAACATTTTAACACACTTAAAAACACAGAGCCACTTTTCACATTTTCGCTAATCCTTTCTCCTTCAATGTGGAAGATGCCCCCTCCCCCACCCCACCATTTTGCACTTCAACTACAGTTGAATGAACTACAGTGCAAGTTCAGGGAGGTGAATGACAAAACAGACAAGCAATAACATTGTATTAGAGCTTTGCACTCAACCTTTCCTGAGATTTCCAGGTTCATGTGCCTTTTTGGTAGCACCTATTTGTGTAAGAAACCTTTTCCATTATGAACTTATACAAGTCAAAGTTTAGGGCTAATCTTACAGATGATCAACTTAAAGCTATTCTAATGGTCTCAGTTGCTTCTCACTCAAGCCAAATGTTACTCAGCTGTGTAAAAAGTGCTGACAGGTCTCTGGCAACAAGGAGTAGAAGTAAGTGAAGCCTCGTTCTTGAGAACAGTTCATGTTTCTATTTGTTATAAATAAAGGTTGCGCAGGTTGTAGCAGTTGTACTTTATTGACTTTGTCATCGCTTATTTGTTGAATAATTGATGCGGCCCAGTCTCACTCGGGCTCTAACTTATGCGGTACCCGGATAATTGGAGTTTGAGACCCACTGGTTTAATGTACATTTTTAAATAGCGCATAACTCTAGTCACCATGTTTGTCTATGGTGCATAACCCTAGTCTTAATGTTTGTCTATGGTGCATAACTCTAGTCACATGTTTGTCTATGGTGCATAACCCTAGTCACATGTTTGTCTATGGTGCATAACTCTAGTCACATGTTTGTCTATGGTGCATAACCCTAGTCTTAATGTTTGTCTATGGTGCATAACCCTAGTCACATGTTTGTCTATGGTGCATAACCCTAGTCTTAATGTTTGTCTATGGTGCATAACCCTAGTCTTAATGTTTGTCTATGGTGCATAACCCTAGTCACATGTTTGTCTATGGTGCATAACCCTAGTCTTAATGTTTGTCTATGGTGCATAACCCTAGTCACATGTTTGTCTATGGTGCATAACTCTAGTCACATGTTTGTCTATGGTGCATAACCCTAGTCTTAATGTTTGTCTATGGTGCATAACTCTAGTCACATGTTTGTCTATGGTGCATAACCCTAGTCTTAATGTTTGTCTATGGTGCATAACCCTAGTCTTAATGTTTGTCTATGGTGCATAACTCTAGTCACATGTTTGTCTATGGTGCATAACCCTAGTCTTAATGTTTGTCTATGGTGCATAACCCTAGTCTTAATGTTTGTCTATGGTGCATAACTCTAGTCACATGTTTGTCTATGGTGCATAACCCTAGTCTTAATGTTTGTCTATGGTGCATAAACCTAGTCTTAATGTTTGTCTATGGTGCATAACTCTAGTCACATGTTTTTCTATGGTGCATAACCCTAGTCTTAATGTTTGTCTATGGTGCATAACCCTAGTCACATGTTTGTCTATGGTGCATAACTCTAGTCACATGTTTGTCTATGGTGCATAACTCTAGTCACATGTTTGTCTATGGTCCATAACTCTAGTCACATGTTTGTCTATGGTGCATAACTCTAGTCACATGTTTGTCTATGGTCCATAACTCTAGTCACATGTTTGTCTATGGTCCATAACTCTAGTCACATGTTTGTCTATGGTCCATAACTCTAGTCACATGTTTGTCTATGGTGCATAACTCTAGTCACATGTTTGTCTATGGTGCATAACTCTAGTCACATGTTTGTCTATGGTCCATAACTCTAGTCACATGTTTGTCTATGGTCCATAACTCTAGTCACATGTTTGTCTATGGTCCATAACTCTAGTCACATGTTTGTCTATGGTCCATAACTCTAGTCACATGTTTGTCTATGGTCCATAACTCTAGTCACATGTTTGTCTATGGTCCATAACTCTAGTCACATGTTTGTCTATGGTGCATAACTCTAGTCACATGTTTGTCTATGGTGCATAACTCTAGTCACATGTTTGTCTATGGTGCATAACTCTAGTCACATGTTTGTCTATGGTCCATAACTCTAGTCACATGTTTGTCTATGGTCCATAACTCTAGTCACCATTTTTGTCTATGTGGATAGTGTTAATATTTTATTATTATTTAAAATTCAACGTACATGATAAATTTACACAAAAATATTTTCGATTGGAAAATTTGTCTTAATCTGCTGTAAGTGTAAGACCCATGGATTTTTTTTTTAATGTGTCAGATCCATGCATATGTGTTATTATATATGTTGAAACTTTTACTTAATTTTTTACCATTCGGTCAAAAAGAAAACCTGAAGGACAGGGCATTTCCGTCCCCTTAAAGTTTTTGCACTGGTAGTATTTGTGACAAGATGTTGGCATCGCTACTCTGCCATTCCTAACACCTTGACACATTGAATCTTCTGTAAAACATATGATTAATATGATTGATTAATAAAAAAAAAATTCTTTATATAGAAACAAATCTATTGTAGACACATAAGAAAAATAGCTTAATCTCTGCAGCTGTTATGTGGCCATTTTATTGCTATTCAGCAGTAAATTCATGTCATAAAATTATATTGTTTGATTTAAATTAGCAGAAGGCTTATGTAGAGCCATTAAATTATTTGATTTAAGTAAGCAATAAATTAATGTAGAGCCTTTATATTGCTTGATTTAATTCAGCAGTAAATTCATGTGGAGCCATTATATTGTTTGAATTAATTTAGCGTTAAATTCATGTAAAGCAATTATTTGGTTTGAGTTAATTCATCAGTAAATTAATGTAGGGCCATTATATTGTTGGTTTTCATTCAACAGTAACTTATGTCCAGTACATAAAATACCAAAGCAGAGTTTAATGTATGAAGATTAGAAAATTATATCTGTAGTGGAACCCTGCTACAACGGTCCCTATATTCTGTTTGTTAAGAGTGGGAACACGTTAAGAATAGGATAGCGTTTATAGTGGGTAGCCGAGTGGTCTAAACTGCCTCAAACCAAACAGCCGTTGGTCCGGAGTTCAATCCCAATCAAAGCCAACATCCCAAGCACCCCGGGTGGATGGGACCCGCTAGCCTTGGATGGCAACCCATCTAAGAGAAGGCAAACTCTGAATTAAAACCAGGAGCCAGAATGATCAACAAATTGATCGTGGGCCCCTCAAATATAAGAAGAAGAAGAAGAAATTAATAGTGGGATTACGTTTATATGGGGATCACGTTAATAGTGGAATCCCTTTAATAGAAGGGATAGTTTTTAGTGGGTTCACATTATAAGTGGGATTAAGTTTAAAGTCGAACTACGTTGAACGTGGAGTCACGTTAGTAGTGGGATCACGTTATTAGTGAGATTAGGTTTAAAGTGGAATTACGTTAATAGTGGGATTATGTTTATAGTGGGATCTCGTTGATAGTGGGATCACGTTAATATTGGATCACGTTTAAAATGGGATCACGTTAATATTTATATTGCGTTAATAGAAGGATCATGTTAATAGTGAGATCACGTTAATAGTGGGATTGCGTTTATAGTGGGATCACTTTGATAGTGGGACTACATTAAAAGTGGGCTTACTTCTATAGTGGGATCAAGTTAATAGTGGGATTATGGTTAAAGTCGGATCACGTGAAAGGGTGATTTTGGTTATAATGGGATTATTTTGACAGTGGGACCATCTTAAAATTTGTATTACGTTAATAGGGGATTACGTTAATAGTGTTATTAGGTTTATAGTGGGATCACGTTAATAGTGGAATCATTGTAATAGTTGGGATAGTTTATAGTGGGGTCATGTTATTAGTGGGGTCATGTTATTAGTTGGATTAAGTTTAAAGTAGAGATACGTTAAATTTGGGATCACGTTCATAGTGAGATGACTTTTATAGTTGGATCACGTTTAGAGTGGGATTACGTTAATAGTGGGGTTCAGTTTATAGTGGGATCATGTTATTTGGATCACGTTAATAGTGGGATTACGTTTATAGTGGGATCACTTTTATATTGGATTACGTTTATAATGGGATCCTGTTTATATTTAGATTGCGTTTATAGAAGGTTCATGTTAATTGTAAGATCTCATTAACAGTGGGATCACGTCAAAAGTTGAATTGGGTTTATAGAGGGATCACGTTAATAGTAGTATTGAGTTTATAGTGTGATCACTTTACTAGTGAGACTACGTTAATAGTGGGATTACGGTTAATGCTGGATCACGTAAAAGGGGGGATTACGTTTATAATGGGATCACGTTGATAGAGGGATCACTTTAATAATGGATTACGTTAATATTGGTATTAGGTTTATACTGTTATCACGTGAATAGTGGGATAACGTTTATAGTGGGATGACGTTAAAGGTGGGATCACGTTAATAGTAGGAACACGTTTATAGTGGGATCACGTCAATAGTGGATCACGTTAATATTTGGAGCACGTTAATAGTGGGATCACTTTACTAGCCTGATCACGTTAATAGTTGTATTACTTTAATTGTGCGTTAACGTTTATAGTTGGATCACGTTAATAGTGTTATTACGTTAATAGTTGGATCATGCTGTTAGTGGGATCACGTTCAAGGTGGGATCACGTTCAAGGTGGATCATTGTAATAGATGGATCCCGTCTACGGAAACAGTGGGATTAGTCAATATTGGGATCACGATAATACTGTGAGTACTTGGATAGTGGGATCACGGTACTAGTGGGATCAAGTTTTCGTCGTCCCCCCCCCCCAGATAGTGCGAGACGTATTTTAATGGATTCAATTTATAACTTCTGGTTAGATATTTATGAGGGTTGAAACAGGACTAATGTCATTTGATTTATATTTAACTTTAGTCATTTAGCTCTGCTCTTTATATCCTAATGAGCCATTTAGCTGTGCTCTTTACATTTTATGAGCCATTTATCTCTGAACTTTATATCCTTAAGAGCCATTTATCTATGCACTTTATTTCCTAATGAGCCATTTAGCTCTGCTCTTTATATCCTAATGAGCCATTCAGCTCTGCTCATTAAATACTAATGAACAATTTAGCTGTGCACATAATATCCCATTGAGCCATTTAGCTCTGTTTGTCGTATCCTCATGAGCTAATAGCTCTGCTTATTATATCCCAGTGAGCCATTTAGCTCGGCACGCAAATTAGTTTTTACGTTGTATTATTAATTAAAGAATTTAGTTTATTCAAAAATTTACTTATTTTAAAGAGTATTTTTTATATATAAAAGTTTTAAGCTACTTGTGCTTAATAAGAAAGTTACATTCAATTTCAGACTACTCACCTTGGCCATTGACTGGCGTACAGGTGAAGAGTACAATCAACAGAGCGATACTGAAATGGTTCTAAGATCAAATTTAAGAAAATATTTAAATTATTAAATGGAGCATGGACGCATACATACATTTAAAAATAATGATTAACCAAGACCCTTAACCACAGACAGCAATGTTATTATCATTCAACTGAGACATATCCATCAACTGTACCAGGACCACAACACAAACATACCCATCTGGTAACAGACTCACAACACAAACATACCCATCTGGTGTACCAGACCCACAAAATAAACATATCCATCCATTGTACCAGACCTTCAACACAAAGATATCGATTCACTGTACCAGACCCACAACACAAACATATTCATCCATTGTACAAGACCACCATACGTTTTCAATGATGTGCCCCGATTCTTTACATCGCCATACTCTACACCAGGGGTCCCCAAACTGTGGCCCCCGAGCCGGATCCGTATTCTATGATTTAAAAGAAATCTATTTCAAAAAGAATTAATTAACAAATGATGACATCATTTAAAGATCGACCAAAGAACTTGAGGTTCTTGTTATTATGAAAACCTTGCTTTAAAAAAAAAAAAAAGCAACTAAGAAACAGTATGCCTAAAGCCTATTCCTGCTAATATATTAAAGCCTTATAACTACCAAAAACTGTCAAGGGGTGAAAGGGAGTGGAGTTTTAGAATTAAGCCGTATTCGACGTGGTTGGAATTATCCGTCTTGTGGCAAGTTTAGTTATGAGGAGAACATAAGAACTTGGACAGAACATAGCAATACAGATACGTGAGACAGTTAGGGACTTGCTGGGGTATTCTCTGGCACTGGATTAGTCTACTGATCTCTCGAGTGCGTCACAAATTCTTGCGTTAATGTGTGGTGTCAATTTCGACTTTCAGATGATGCAAGCGTTGACATCCATTTGCAGCATGCATGGAACAACAATTGAAAATACATTTACATGGAAGTTCAACCATGTGTAGTGAACACCTTTACTCCAACCCCGTGCAGGGCTGTTGTGTTGTATGTTCAAGGGGGAAAAAGCTGTGTCAAATATTCAGGTTCTTAATATTTACTTGCTTCATATGGCATGACAGTGGAAGAGACCCATAAAATAATCATTGATTTCAGAATAAAACAGACGTGTCTAGAAATCCTAGACATACTATAACAAAACAATATAGCTGCACAACTCCTAGCGAAATGTACTGAATCCTTCTTTCATCAACAGCAATGGTGACTGTCTCAGACATCACTAATTACACACACCAATGAAATAAAACAATTTGTTTATCCTCACATTAATATGCATTCAACACAACACACGGTTATGCATGGGTCAGAAAAGTCGTGGGATAAAGTGGAAGAATGAAGGGGGAAAATTAAGGGGAAAAACACCATCGCTCACTCACAGGACTCCACACCAGCCCCACAACAACATGACGCGATCGGACCGTGACAGCACCCCCCCCCCCCCCCCCCAAAAAAAAAAGTGACGTTAGGTGAAATCCATTGTTGCAAGTTTGAGAAATAAACAGTTCGTGTGCACGCTCTGGTAATCTGACATTCAAATAATTAACATTTTATTGTTAAACATACACTATAAGAGGTGCATTAGTTACCGTCTCTACTCAATTGTTAGCTAAAAGCAAATTGAGCATTTAAGTAAATACATTGTCTCTAGAATTTTGAATTTTTACAGAACTGATTTGCCAAATTTCTGAACAGTAGTCCAGTTATTAGATCCACCTAAGTCTCTTATCTCTATTCCCCTGTCTGACCTACATGTCCAAGTAGTCAAGTTATTAGATCCACCTAAGTCTCTTATCTCTTTTCTCATGTCTGACCTACACGTCCAAGTAGTCAAGTTATTAGATCCACCTAAGTCTCTTATCTCTATTCCCCTGTCTGACCTACACGGCCCAGTAATCACGTAGTCATCAAACAAGTCCTTTATACATAAAGACAGTTTTGCGTTATGTTGAGCTGCTGATGCCTTGTTACCTTGATCACCGCTTCCATTGTTGCAAAGAAAAACACATTATACACTATAAAAAATGTTATTTTTAGACCAATCAATCATTTTGACATTTATATTTCTATCGTCTCTGGTAGGAAACACTTCACAATCTTCGCCCTTAAGGCGGCCACTACTATATTCTGTAAAAATGTTTACAAACATCTGAGTTGAAATGGGGAGCAGCCGAAAACTGCGATACCACATGCTCCTGGAACCATAACATCTTACTTGAGCTTTACGCAGAAGTGTTTGTGAACTGAAAGTTTTTAACCTTACATCTTCTAGTGGTCCATCGCTTGGTGAAGGTTACGGTCTCCCCCTTACATCTTCTAGTGGTCCATCGCTTGGTGAAGGTTACGGTCTCCCCCTTACATCTTCTAGTGGTACATGCCTTAGTCAAGGTTACGGTCTCCCCCTTACATCTTCTAGTGGTCCATGCCTTGGTGAAGGTTACGGTCTCCCCCTTACATCTTCTAGTGGCCCATCCCTTGGTGAAGGTTACGGTCTCCCCCTTACATCTTCTAGTGGTACATCGCTTGGTGAAGGTTACGGTCTCCCCCTTACATCTTCTAGTGGCCCATCCCTTGGTGAAGGTTACGGTCTCCCCCTTACATCTTCTAGTTTTACATGCCTTGGTCAAGGTTACGGTCTCCCCCTTACATCTTCTAGTGGTCCATCCCTTAGTCAAGGTTAGGGTCTCCCCCTTACATCTTCTAGTGGTCCATGCCTTAGTCAAGGATATCGTCACCCCCTTACATCTTCTAGTGTTCCATGCCTTAGTCAAGGATATGGTCACCCCCTTACATCTTCTAGTGTTCCATGCCTTGGTCAAGGTTACGGTCTCCCCCTTACATCTTCTAGTGGTCCATCCCTTAGTCAAGGTTATGGTCTCCCCCTTACATCTTCTAGTGGTCCATGCCTTAGTCAAGGATATGGTCACCCCCTTACATCTTCTAGTGTTCCATGCCTTGGTCAAGGTTACGGTCTCCCCCTTACATCTTCTAGTGGTCCATGCCTTGGTCAAGGTTTTGGTCTCCACTTCGCTGTGAACGAAGCTTAACCCAGTTTTAATAATGACACCTCGCTTGAGTGGACGCGGAAAAATGATTTATACATCCACCTTCTGAGGAAGTGCTATCAAAAGTCCCCGGTACACCATACACGCCAGCAAGGTTCAACTGCTTGGCTCACAAAAGTGAGCCAAAACGTTTTGAGCACCTGGGATCGGTGTTGTTGTGACATTGTATTCCTTCGACGTTAAAGCCCATCTCGCCTCACGACTATTGGTGGACTTTGATGCTTCTAGAAATGCCAAAGGTTTGTGGTATGTCTCGATTTTAAAGTACAACCATAAATGTATCTCGAAAACTTTTTGATTCTCCAGACGACACGCAAACATTCCTTTTCGATTTCTGAATAGAGGGTCTCGTGAGAGAGCATTTTTCTACTCGCATCCTGTATAGGGTGAAGCAGACCTGCATAAAGCAATCCCTTAGAGCGGTATCGTTCGCGTCCGTTCGGATCACGAAATATTATGAATATTGCCTCTTGTATGTCTTCGGCAGTTATTGTTTTAAGAGGTGTGGCCTCTGGCCACCTAGCTGAGGTGTCCACAAGAGAAGGATAAATCTGTATCCCCTTGTGGTTATTGGTATTATGGTGCCAACTAGGTCAATAGCTATTCCCCCCCCCCCCCCCATGGCTTTTTGATTAACTCCACTTGGCCTTTGAAGGTTTTTCATATTTTGACACACATCGCTGGTCTTACAATATTATCTGACATCCTTCACTATGCCAGGCCAACAGAATTCTTCCAAAGCTCCTCCTTTTGTACGAACTATCCACATGTGCGATGAAAAGCTTTTATAATTGGCCTTTTCTATCCCCATTTTTTCTTAAAAATTAGGAAACAGCTAATTGTTCCCAAACATTGTTCTGTCCGTTGCTACTGTCACAAAACTCCAACAAAAAGTCCTAAATTGTGTTAGTCTACCTGCCCTAATTTGTCTTCTAACGTGCTCGTAGTTACGTCTCACTGTGAAATCGTTTTACTGTAAAGTTCTAAACAAGGGGTCATAAACTCGCGGCCCGCAGGCCATGGGAAGCTCACAAGAGGATATTTTGTGGTCAGGTACCTGACAGCCAAGTTTAGTATTAGTGCGGCCCGCAAGTTTTCCCCATTCTCAAATCTATAAAGAGAATCTCCGTGACGATTTCAATTGAATCTCGCCGACTGGTCTAATTCTGATTTTTATTAAATTCGTATAGGTTTGGAACTTGATTACAATAGAAAAAAAAACCTTTTTTTAAAAATCGGACTAACACTTTTATTTTAAAGCATTTTTTTAGAAAAACATGGCGGCCAAAGTGCTGTTTTGAGAAAACATGCTTCGAATATTGTATATACATATATCAAAAGTTAAAAATTCAGTGGGTTATGCACAACCACAATTGGATATGTCGTAGCAATCTGACCCAGGCTCCATGGGCTTGAGGCACTGGCAGTTCCACGCCTTTTGATAAAAAAATAGAGCCAGCATCAAATGAGGATGTAACTATTTCAATCAAATGAGGATGCAACTATTTCAATGAGGTACGTTGGCTTAGTAGGGGAAAAGTCTTGAATTGTATTTTATTTTTGTTATTTGAGAGTAGAAATCGAAGCCTTCATGGAGAAGCATGGGTTGTTTGTTTCTGCACTAAGTGATCCCAAATGGCACATGGACTTGGCTTTTGTTGTTGACATTACATAAGTGCTGAATGTTTTCAACAAGAAGTTACAAGACCAGGGGCAGCTCGTCATTGTTGCCTATGACAGTTTCAGAGAACTCTGCACAAGAGCTGTGTTATGGAAAGCCCAGCTTTCTCAGAGACACTCTGACATTTTTCTACATGCAAAGTACTTATAAACTCGGGCACACCATTCAGTAGTCAATATATTGATACCATTGCAAAGCTACAGTACGAATTTGATCATATTTTTGCAGATTTCAGAACGCACAGAGCCACTTTTCAATTTTTCGCTCACCCTTTCTCCTTCAATGTGGAAGATGCCCCTCCACCAAACATCTTTTTTGCGCTTCAAATGGAGCGGATTGATCATCAGAGCAATTCTGAGCTCAAGGCTAATTTCTGGAAAAATATGGAAAAACAGACAAGCTTTGACGATTTATGAGAGAATCGCCCTCCAACTACCCTGAGATTTCCAGGTTGTCAAGCGGATCATGTGCCATTTTGGGAGTTCTTTTCTGCGGCCAGACACCTAACACTATGAACTGTAATAGAAATGAACGACGCACACTATTTTGTGTTCGGTGTAACAACTACCTTTATTCTACATTCTACACCCTTTTAATTCCTCTACATTCATGATCACTCATTCCACTTTTCCACGCATTTAAGTTTAAAACATTCATGAATAAAAACAACTCAGGACTTCCAGTCATACCACATAACAACAACACAGGCCAATCAGGTCACCAACTTCACTTACTACTCACAATAATAATCGTCAGTCATACTGTCACATGAACTTTTACGCGTCAAACTTCACGGCCAAATTTACTGATCAGCATCTTCAAATTACACTGACGGTCTCAGTTTCCTCCTCACTCAAGCCAAATGTTGCTTAGCTGTGTAAGAAGAAGCGCTGCCAGGTCTCTTGCAGCAAAGAGTAGGAGGAATTAAGTGATAAAAATACTTGATGCAGCCAGGTCGCAACAAGACTCTACCTCCTGCGGCCGCCAAATGATTTGAATTTGAGTTCGAGTGTTCTAAACGTATCCTCAGTTACCTCTAGTTCTGTTAGGTTTTGTTTTACCGGGTCAATCTTCTCTGAACTTTTACCCTTTGCCCTGGTAACGATTGTCGCTGTTACTACGGTATCACCTCCCATGGTCGCCCCTTTTATTCTTCCGATAATTAAATCAACTGGTGGGTCCTTTAGTTGGGCCGCCTTTGTCCCTCCTGTAAAGTATGGTGACTTCATGTATGTTTCCTCGTCTGTAAACCATTTTTTACCCATCAAACAAAATACACGTCACTGTCTCGTTAAGTCTGCGTCCCTTACATTCACTTAGATACGATTCCTATACTCGAACAATTTCATATTCTGTGTTGCGTATGGCGTTTATCTTTATACCATTGACGTCATTCCCATGAAATAACTACTCCTGATTTCTTGCTCTGAAAACAACAAAAAGTAGCCTTCCCTTTCCTACCCTATCCCCATACTATTCCGTCTATTCCCTAGTCACCTTTTATCCCCCGTGTTCGCATAAGTGGGGCCCTTCTCTAAAGTTTATGTCCCGCTGGCATTGCTGTTAACTCCAGCAATCCTCGGTGTTGTGTCCCGCTAAGTGGCAGACATATCAGTAACGTTTTTCCCACTCATTGTTAACGTAAACATGTTGATTTAGATTTTGTGTCTGTTCTTCAGCGTTGCGAGCTAAACATGACACCTGATGGTCCATGCGTTTCAGACACGTGTTGTTCCATGCGTGTCAGACACGTGTTGTTCCGTGCGTTTCAGACACGTGTTTTTCCGTGCGTGTCAGACACGTGTTGTTCCATGCGTGTCAGACACGTGTTGTTCCATGCGTGTCAGACACGTGTTGTTCCGTGCGTTTCAGACACGTGTTGTTCCGTGCGTTTCAGAACTTTAATTGAATGTGCTGCCATGCAATTGCCCCCCCCCCCTTTTTTTTTCCGCGGTCGCAATGACTGCATAAATAGTCATGTTGTTTGTTTCTCATATATTTTTGATTGTCTTGATTTACTCTTTGTAGTATTCATCCCAATACCGTTAGTGAGAACAAATTTGCATAAGTCTTCTCCAACTTTGACAACTAAATCAATCTGGCCAGGTAATGGCTGATCTTATTCACATATTATGTCATCATGCCCTTGTCTTTGCCGGTGTCATCCTTGCCAGTTTATCTCTAATAGCCCTGAGCTGTAAGCCTGAGCTGTTTAGACAGTGCAATTTTTACCTCATCATACGTGGCCTCCACTCCTGTCACGCGCCCTGCGAAACAGGCTGGGAGTAGTTCGGGTGGCATTCATTTTCCCAATTCATTATTCCAACTTGCGATTGGCCATTTGTTCAGTTTCGCTTCATCCTTGAGCCGTATGAGGAAGAAGTCCACAAGGTCAGCCCACCCGTCGAACATTGGTATTTTTTTAGAATGACCTCCACTCCATGGACTTTTACCTATTTATTATCAATGTTTTTGCTTCCCCCTTCCAATCCATAATCTATCGCCATTTGTTTAATGTGGGCAATAATTGGAAAATACATTTCGTTTGTAAGTATTACGTCAATTAATATGTTTGTTTGTTTTTAAATTACACATAAAAAATGGAAGACAGCTGAAATACAAATGGGTATTCAGTGGGTAATGTATATTTCTAATTTAAGGATACTTCACAAATAATGGATGGTTAATTACAAGAAAAGGTTAATAAAACAATAAAAATAGCTACACAAATCCTAGCGAAAATGTACTCATTCCCTCTTAAATCCACTGCTAGGGTCACTGTCTCACACAACACTAGTTGCCCACATCAATAACAACATACACTATTTTTACTAACCTGTTTTGTACTTAAAACACCGCCACGGCCATGTGTGGCTGAGACAAGGCAAAGATCTTGTGTGGCTGAGACAAGGTCACGGTCTTGTGTGGCTGAGACAAGATCAGTCTTATGTGGCTGAGACGCAGCCACGGTTTTGTGTGCCTGAGACAAGGCCACGGTCATGTGTGGCTGAGATAAGGTCACGATCTTGTGTGGCTGAGACAAGGCAACGATCTTGTGTGGCTAAGACAAGGCCACGATCTTGTGTGGCTGAGACAAGGCAAAGGCCTTCTGTGGATGAGACAAGGTCACGTTCATGTGTGGCTGAGACAAGGTCATGGTCTTGTGTGGCTGAGACAAGATTATGGTCTTGTGTGGCTGAGACAAGCCCACTGTCATGTGTGGCTGAGACAAGACCACGGTCAAGTGTGGCTGAGAAAGGCTACGGTCTTGTGTGGCTGAGACAAGGACACGGTCTTGTGTGGCTGAGACCAGGCCACGGTCATTTTTGGCTGAGACAAGGCAATAGTCATGTGTGGCTGAGACAAGACCGTGGTCATGTGTGGCTGACAAAAAGCCACCGTCATGTTTTTTTCTAAGACAAGGCCACGGTCTTGTGGGGCTGAGACAAGGCCACGGACATGTGTGGCTGAGACAAGGAGACGGTCATGTGTGGCTGAGACAAGGCCACGGTCTTGTGTGGCTAAGACAAGGCCATGGTCATGTGTGGCTGAGACAAGGCCACGGTCATGTGTTGCTGAGACAAGGCCACGGTCATGTGTGGCTTAGACAAGGCAAAGCCTTGTGTGGCTTAGACAAGGCAAAGCCTTGTGTGGCTTAGACAAGGCAAAGCCTTGTGTTGCTGAGACAAGGCCACTATCTTGTGTGGCTGAGACAAGGCTACTCTCATGTGTTGCTGAGCCTTGTGTGCCTGAGACAAGGTCACGGTCATGTGTGGATGTGACAAGGTCATGGTCTTGTGTGGCTGAGAAAAGATCACAGTCTTGTGTGGCTGAGACAAAGCCACGTGCCTGTGTGGCTGAGACAAGGTCATGGTCATGTGTGGCTGAGGCACGTTTACTGTCACGTGTGGCTGAGACAGGGTCACGGTAATGTGTGGCTGAGACAAGGTCGCGGTCTTGTGTGGCTGAGACAAGGCCACGGTCTTGTGTGGCTGAGACAAATTGTGGGATTAAAAGGGAAAAATTAAAGGAAAAAACACTCAATCACACGACATCCCAACCAATTTAGTTGCGACTTCACTTCCAATGTATAGATAGAGATTATTATCGTGCACCTGATCAAACTGATGTTTAATATAGGCAGAAATGAATGTCGTAGGTTGAATTCTTCGCAAGTTTTACAAAGTGATAAAATGTTTGTACTTTTAATAATTAATAAGCAGATATTCGTCCTAACGTAGCATTTGACTTTTCTGTTACATATTGTTATATGCTAGGTGAGTAAATGGTTTTGTTTGAATTGAGTTACTTCTAGATTAGAAACCTGATTCGGTTTGTGCTTTACGAATTCACCACCCTCCATATGGCATAAATCTGGCATAAAAATTTTAACCGCACAGTTAAACTATCAGTTTTTAACTTCAATTCTGTACAACTAAAATATAACTTCATCTATATACAACTAAAATGAAACTTAAACTATGTACAACTAAAATTTAACTTCAACTGTACACAACTAAAATGTAACTTCAACTATATACAACTAAAATGTAACTTCAAATATGTACAACTCAAATGTAACTTAAACTATGTACAACTAAAATGTAACTTCAACTATGTACAACTAAAATGTAACTTCAACTATGTACAACTAAAATGTTACTTTAAATATGTACAATTTTTATGTTATTTTATATTTAAAGTAATGCTTTACTTACTTTCAAATATTTTTCAAGTGACTGACTTAAAATCTTCACACCAAAAAAAATTAAACAAATCGTATGTGTACATGTGTGAAAAGTGATAAACAATGATATCAAATAGAACATAGAACAGAAAAATTTACAATACCTGGATATCCATTTGTAGAGCGGGCCTAGATGGTGAACATTGTAAGAGTTGACCAGCGTTTCTGTAGGATGACTCGATCATTGATCATCATCAAATATAAATGAAACTGTCAGACTCAGCATTTAGATCATAACTCAAAGTTGTTCATTATAATTTTATGTCATAATTTCAACCTAAAACATGACCAAAAGTGTAAGTCTGTTTTTAATGTACACGTACACAAATTGTCATGTGTTAGGATTTATAATCCATATGTCACATTTTTCAGCACATTTCCACTTAAATCTTTCCAGATTCAATGACGTCATTCGACCCACTGATCTGACGTTCAATGACTTAACGGTGGAGGCGTGGATTAAGAAACTATAAACTTAAGTTGAACGAGAAATTTAATGACCTAGAGGGTTTAAGGCGTAGCAGTAGGCGTAATGGAATTGACAAAATGTAATACCGGTATCGTGATGTGTTTATTGAAATTCAACAATGCGTTCAACACCATTAGGAACAGAATGGGGATCTGTTTTCCTTTGGTGTGTTGTTGTAATGCCTGTGATCATGCCACGATGTGAATTGCTTGCCTAAATTTCTCATTACCTAATCACTATTAGTATTAGCTCAAATTGATTTTCCTCATACATATGCCCAAGAGAATCATGGGTTATAAATATGCGAAAAAATCTTCTATTGCACTTTGCAATTTTCAAACAGAATTAGCAAAAAAAAAAAATATATATATTAAAAACCAGCATTGAATGTCTTGAATCCCGAACAAAGACCAAGTCCAGCACAAACATCAATAGTTTTCAGGTGGATCGGAACCGTTAACATGGGAGAAAGAAACTGAAAATCAAAACCCTAGGGCTGTTTTTTGGTTTGCCTTTTCATGGGGTGGTGGGCTAAATCTATCTGGGGTTTGCCTCTTAGTAACGTGGTGGGCTAAATCTGTATGGGGTTTGCCTCTTCGTGGGTGGCGGGCTAAAGCTGTATGGGGTTTGCCTCTTCGTGGCATTGTGGGCTAAAGCTGTATGGGGTTTCCCTCTTCGTGGCGTGGTGGGCTAAATCTGTATGGGGTTGCCTCTTCGTGGTGGGCTAAATCTGTATGGGGTTTGCTTCTTCGTGGGGTGGCAGGGTAAAGCTGTATGGGGTTTGCCTCTTCGTGGCGTGACGGGCTAAAGCTGTATGGGGTTTGCCTCTTCGTGGCGTGGCGGGCTAAAGCTGTATGGGGTTTGCCTCTTCGTGGCGTGGCGGGCTAAGGATGTATGGGGTTTGCCTCTTTGTGGCGTAGCGGGCTAAAGCTGTACGGGGTTTGCCTCTTCGTGGGGTGGCGGGCTAAAGCTGTACGGGGTTTGCATCTTCGTGGGGTGGCGGGCTAAAGCTGTACGGGGTTTGCGTCTTCGTGGCGTGGCGGGCTAAAGCTGTACGGGGTTTGCCTCTT